TCCGAGTCCAGCTCCGATAAATCTGACTGCTCGACGTCGTCATTGCCATTCCCCTGCTGAAGCTCCGGCTCAGTCATTTCAACTTCCCAGTCCCGTGGCTGAGCGTCAGTCCAGTCAGGCTGAGGAAGTTCGATTTGACACACTGTCGCACTGGCTTCAACTTCTGATTCTGAAGATTCAGTGTGACACACTGTCTGACTTGCAGGAGAATCGACCACTGTCAATGTCCGACGCTTCTTATTATCTGCAGGCAAGCCAGTTGACATGAGGCTTCAATGTCAATGGTTCACAAAATCTCAATCAAGCACGTTGAGTCAACTGCTACTGACAGGCTTGAGCCGCAAAACCGCATCTCAAGCATGACTGGAATGTTTGCAGCCTGAACATGGGTCATGGTTCATGTCATTCATGATGGCATCATGTGCGCGCACGGCTGTTGCCATAAACTCAAATGAAGTCAGGATATTTATAGAGCGACAACTTGTTTCTTCCTCTTGTTCCATTGACTGCTGGGCCTCAAGTGAGCTTCCGCACTCACGCATCTAAACTCACTTGCGCAGCCCTGTTGCTGTTTTCCAAAGTCGCACACAGTCGAGTCAAGCAGTTTGCCCATCAGTTAAAAGTTGCAGCTCCGCTCTGTACTGGAGCAACACACTGCTTGTCTATTATTGGCTGAAGATCAATCCAGCACGAGGCCATGACGCATTGAATATGCACGAGCAAGCTTGTGACAGGCACATGAACACTGAGGGCCACAATGGTGCGCTAAGCCGCACGCAGAGCACCAAAGAACACGATCTCGCGCAGCCAAAGTAATAGTTCCAGCCCTGGCAGTAAAAAACCACACCTTTTTATGCATCGATGTGCTGTAGCTCACGGGCATCCGAACAAACCAGTCACCTTCGATGAACTTGAACTTGCGATCGGCAGTTGGTAAGGGCATCTGCATCTGGTCAGCAAGCACTTCTTGAAGCACCACTGGGCGCAGATCTCCCGTGTCTGGACGAAGAGCGTGGTCGTTTTTTTGTGGGAATCACATCTTGGGGTCCGCTCAAGGTGCTCTCCTGGCATGTGGCCTCCTGGTGTTCGTCATCATCAATGGCAGTGTCATTGGCCATGTTGTTTGTACACGGCGACTCAGACTCAATAATTATAGTAGCAAAACTACCAGCATCCTCACATTTCCATAGCGTCTGCCTTAGATAGTGTGCGCCCGAACCCCGCACCATCACTTTGCCTAAATTGATGACAGCAACACCTAATGCATACAATCATTATTAAGCCCAGCAGCGACATTGCGAGTTTAGCAAAAGTGGGAAGCACTTGAGTCTGTGCTTTCAACTGACAGCACTTGAACCGAACCGCCACAACTTGTTTTGCCACGAGCAATTCCCGTACACAAGTGCAAGCAGGCCAATGACATGATGAGATACTTTGCACTCAGCACACCAGAGGTTCTCGCTATTTTATCAAGTCGTGCGCAACTCGCAAACGAGCAAAGAATTATGCCTTCTGTCTACAGCCACATGTTTTGGAAGACTGGATCCAGTCCTTAACCTGTAGCTCAGTCATTATAGTGCTTGTCCTCCTCAATTGGCCTTTTGATGGCCACTCGCCTGGCAGAGCGCCACCACAGCACAGAACTAAGACTTCAAGACTATTATTACGCGCACACACACAAACAATGGTCATTATGATTTGCCCGCCTTTCTCCCAGTCGTAGCACCTCATGATCCAGGTTGGCTTGTCTCGGCCCCCTGGCGCTGGATGAAACTTGTAATGCCCACATTGCTTGCGGCAAGTATTGCAGGAAACCTCAGTCCAGATAAGCGGATCAAACACAGCAGGTTGCCGGGGTCCATGGTGGCCAGGGCGACTTGATTGTGCACCGGCACCATCAGCCATAGCCAAATCATCGGCACTGCTGGAAGCAGCAATGACACTTGCCCCAGAACTTGGCAATGGCTCATCACTGTGCCTTGTCGATTTGCTTGGAGATTGGGTGTGGCTGGCAGGTGGCAGGTCCGCCTGCGCTCTCAGCCTGTTGCCGTCGTCCGCCACACTGGCTGGCTTGTCTTCTGGAGGAGCCGTGCTGTTGTCCTCCGCCACACTGGCTGGCCTCTCTTCTGGAGCAGCCTCGGCCTGCGCAGCAGGCCTCGCAGATTCAGGGCACGACGACACTGAGTGAGTTCTACGAACCACCCGCCGCTGCCATGGATTCGGAGTCACAGCTTCAACTTCTTCAGGGACTTCAACCAGCACGTTACCCTTTTCATGGGTGTCACCTTCGCGAAGAGCAGGGCAGTCTTGTCTTTTCTTCTTCAGTGCGCCATGCCAAATCTTCCTGCTCGCCTTGCTGGCCACTTTGGAGCTGCTTGATTTGGCAGTCTTCAATTTTTGCCCCTTTATTATGTTGGCTTTGTTGCTTGCCTTTGCCTTGGCCTTGGCCTTTGTCTTGGCCTTGGACTTGGCCTTTGTCTTGGCCTTTGCCTTTGCCTTGGCCTTTGGCGTCATGGCCTTTCTCACTACTGCCCATTCCTTCTGCTTCACACGAGCCTGATGTTTCTCAATTGTTTTTTGAACTTGCTCAAACTCACGACGATCTTCTGGGTCCATGTCCTCCAACACCATTGCATCAAACTCAAGATCATCCTGATCAGCCTTGCAGACACTCTCATCAGAATCACTGTCGTTGCCAGCGGGGGCATTGTTGTGCAGAGCTTGCACCTGAGCCACGAAGTTGGCCGTGATGTCATCAGTATCGCCATCCCGCTGTGACGTTTCCGCAGCAAG